ATAACCATTCTCTAAATCTGAAAGCTTCATCTTATCTGTACCAACCTGAGAACCAGACCTCCAGTCCTTTTCCTTACCGTGCAAGGATGTAACCTTACCAGATTTCTGCCAAGAAAGTTCACTCTCCAGGTTATTCTTCTGTACTTCCTCCTTGTGATGCAAACCATTGGCACAACTGCCATGTTGCTCAACAGGGGCACCACATTCAATCAAATGGTCATTTTTAACTTCAGAAGTTTTAGCTTGGACCCTCGTTTTGTCTTCTACATCCTCAACTCGGTACTCTTTTGAAGAAACTTTGTGGCATGCAGGACTGAAGTTATGTGACATTCTATCCTCCTTCAATTTTATCGACAGCTTTCCCTCCCAATTATCTGCATTTTTCCTGGAAGCTAGTAAAGAGAGACCACCTTTTGAAGCATCATCCTTCCCTGAAATGTCCCCTACCGCAAAAACATGCTTATTTAATTTGGAGGTCCTCAAAGGTGAGGAGGTAACCGATTCTACAGGTGAACCTATCATGTCTTCAAGGTTGGTTTTAGCTCTATAAGACTCTGAAACCTTAGAAGAGCTTGAAGTTGCTGCCAGTGTAAGTTGTCCAGACCCCAAATCCTTGCCAAATGGAACAATATGGTCTGGAGCTTGACGTGATGCATTTTTTTTTCTAGGGGTCATCACACCTTTATTCAACTTATCATCAACTTCAGTTACTGGTTTTGCCTCCGTACTACAAATTCTAGACTTCTTTTCCTTCCTAAACCCACTTGCATTGCCCTCTTTGCCACACTGCTTATCACCCTGCAAGGAGAACGAGTTGTTATGCTTCTCATCATCCACCCAGTCCTTCAATTTCCTTTTCTTCACTGAACCATCTCTTTTACTACCATTTTTTACATCAAAAGACCCACCATCTGTCTGAGTCTGGTTTCCTTCTTTATTTACGAGGTCTAATAACTTGTCCTGTACATCCTCAGATAAACAATAGTCATAATATTTCCGCATATCCATCCCACTAGCCTTTGCTGGAAGACCATTTCCTGATTTTAGACCAACCTTCTCAAGGCCCATCCCTGGCTTCAACTGCTTCTCGCCATGGAAAACATGCTCAGATTTTGATTTCTTAGGAGTTCCAGATCTATATTGATCTGTGTCCATCTTACGTTTCAATTTAATAACCTTTCTATCATCTGCACAAACATGATAACAACATTGGCATCTTTTAATTAAAAACATCTATACTTGTTCATTCATTCAATAAAAATAAATCTTAACTGAACAATATATCAATTCTGAAATTAATGAGGTACCTCCATTTATTTGCTTTTGTTTCTCTTTGGAGACATGTTTTTCTTCTATCAAGTTGTTACATGTGCTAAAACCTTTAGAACTCATATTCTTCATCGGGTTTGAGTCTGCAAGATGACTATTCATGTCAATCAAGCTTATATTTCTTCCAGATTCTTGGTCATCGGTCATGTAGTTTTTTATTCCTGCCATTGTCTTTTCCTTAATAGGCTGTTTCTTCTTTCCTTGAACAGACAATAGATCAAAGCTAGACCTTTTCTGATTCAGGCCAAATTGCACAGTATCAACAGAGCTCACTCCACTTGCGGTGCCAGTGACATGGCTTTGCATATTATATTGACACTCAGAAATTGGCATTTGATACAATGCATACAGTGCATTTGTTGTCTCCTCCTCACTGATGTCACACCGATTCATTCCAGGCCTAACAACAATTCAGAAGAACAATGACACAATAAAACATAGATAACAGACAAATTATGCACAAATCGAGAAAAAAAAATGAACATAATTGGTGTATCATTCAAGATAGTCCTCATTTTTCGCTTATAATACAGCACCAAACCGAGCGTATGCTAGCGTAATATTCTCATGCATAATTCCAACAAAAAAGGGCAATCAACTTACAGCCAATTTAGCATGCTACACAACCATTTCTCTGGAAGTTGATCGGGCTTTAAACCAGTAGGTAGAAGCCGCCATTTATGGCAACTGTCACAAGATACCCAAACTTCTGCAATAAGTTGAGCTGTTGCTACAGCTGATGGAATCATTTCAGGAGCAGGTTTATCTTCAGTACGAAATGAACCTGAATCATATTTTATACATGGCCCAGCAAACAACACATCATCCACTGTATTGACCCTTGCTCTTCCCTTTACTTTAGCCCCAGATACACTCCGTTTTTCAACATTATCAATGTTGGTCATTTTTATTGCACTACTACCAGGTGGAGCATCAAATTTAAATTCTGATTTTTTCCCTTTCAATGAGCCTCTGTCACTATATATGACCTTATTATCCTTCAATGACTTTGTTTTATTCATTTTACTTGAACCAGAAGTAACCCCAAAGGCAGCACTCTCTTTATCATTTACCTTTGGATAATTAGTATCCCCAAAGATATCTTTTCTTGCAACAGCCTCAGCTTTTCCAGGACTCTGATAAATTTTTCGCTTGTTCTTGCCCTCAGATACTGCCTTGCTCTTCTGGTTGGCCTCACACCTTTGAGAATTTTGGTCTAGCTTAGATTTTACAGCATTACACTCAACCTTATCAGAAATCATGGAAGTATTATTACGCTTACCATTATTCTTAGGGACAGAAAAATTATCCTTCCGGGAATTTTCCAGCTTATTCTGTAAAACATTTTTCATAAAACCATTTCCTGCTTTTTGCTTCTCAGTCTTCTCAAAACGTTGACCAGATATTGACTCAAACGACTCTTCCTTTACGGCTCCAACAGAAACCATTCTTCCTTGCACGCTGTCCTTATTAACCTCCTTGGAGAATTCAGAAGCCTTTCCAGTGACTTCAGTAGTTTCTCCGGCATCACAAATTGAACTTGACAGTGGTGTGCATTTCAAGAGAATGTCCTTGCAATCTGGTGTTCTATTTCCTAGTTTTTTATTTTTATGCAATGTCATATCATTCTCAGAAAGAAAACCATCCATATGCTTCAATTCCAACTGTTTTTCATTCTGTCTCACTATTTTCACTTTCCTCTTCTTCAAATGCGCATCCCCGACAAAAGAATCAGATTCATCAGTAGAAATGGAACTAGGTTCTTGATGACCATTAACAGAAGACATATATCTGCCATGCCCAATAACTTTTTCCTTTCTTATCAAGTGGAGCATACTATCAGGTAGAGGTGATGTTAGAACACCTCCAGGGATAGGAAAGGAAGTCATAACCTGTACCGTTAAATAAAAGTAAGATACTTCATTAGTCTTGCTAATGATAACCAATATAGAAATAGAAAAGGTCTTCTACCTGAATAACTTCAGTTGGAGAATCGTTAGCATTCTCTTCAGATACATGTGGCATGCCTTCACCTTCCAAAGGGCTGTTCCCCATTGAGATAGATGGAGAGCTATCAAGTCCAAGGCCGCTATAAATAGCCTCGTTCTTTTGTGAAAAGATATTAGATTTCACTTTGAATCGAAACTTCAATGTTCTTTGGTCAGTTGAATTTCGTGACTTTTTTGTAGCATCATCTTTCACACTGGACTTCTCAGCTACTTCAGTGGAAGATACCACTCCTCCCTTCTTCACTGGATCATCAACTGAAAGTGCTCTTACATTCTGAATTAATTGTGAACTACAAGAATCAATTCCAAGCCCCAAAGGAGGCACGTTTGAAGGTGCCTTTAAGATATGAGACGCAACCTATATTACAACATAACCCACAATGCTCAATTAACCTGAATTCCTTCCAAGGCTGACATGTGTTGGCAGCATATATTACCTTTCTATCAAACAGTAAAAGCGACAGTAACGTAACGAATGCTATACCTCCTTGTGGAGATTGATATGAGACTTTGGTAAGCAGTGGCTTCTTTGTGGAGTCTTTGGGTGAGACTCAGCATGAGAGCGTTCATAGGTAGGTAAGAATGAACCATAGCCACCAAATTTTGCACCTGAAAAATATTATTCATATCTCATTGTTATAATGCAGAGTTTCTTGCTTACATGTACAGTTAGCTTGTGAAAATTGTAATTCTATTATACAGTTAGTTTGGGACAGACGTATCATTCTTAAATCTCTAAGCAATGTGGGACTTAGATCATAACATTAATATCATCATTCTTTGTGGATGCGAAGACAGCTCTTTCATTTCTTATGCCACTCACCCAGATTCTCGGCACAAACACCACCTTCGAAATCCTTTTGAAAATGGCCCAGAACATGATGAATCCTCTCATCCTTCATGTAACATGAAAGAATTTATTAGTCCAAATATTTTGATGATAAAACTTAACCAAGAGGGCTTTCAAACAAAATGGCATTAATCAACAATAATCACTACGAGTAAAGCATTACAATTACAGGAACAATGAAATCAGCAACAAAAATTATTTTTATTTCTATTATCTGTTTGTATGTGTTAGTCTTCTCAGTGGCTAAAATATAAATGCGCATTTACATAACATCGACCTAAGAAGCATCTAGATGATGAACCAACTATTTTGAAAAAGAACAAATGGTGTAGCACACAACGTAATCTACTAGTTATTACCCTGTTGATTGTAGATGTGGTAAATACACTTACTTGGTAACTAGTGAACTATGGTTTTCACTCGTGGGGCAGCAATATAAATTATGAATCCATAATACGTATAGGCAGTTTTCAAAGGTTGATTCAAAAGAAGAAACTCAATGCATTCTACTATGTTTCTGAATCACTTCATCAATGCTGAATTTATTTTCCACTAACAAATGATGCAGGTGAGTTTATGAAGCCAAATAGCCAATAGTTATCTTCAGCTTGTTTGATATTAATTTAGTTCCTTCACAGTTCACACACAAGTGTAATTCTGAGAAGCTCAGTGACTCTTCCGTTCGCTAATTTTCCTCGGGAACCAAACACACTTACACATTGAAAGACCATACTCAATAGTATACATCATCAAAACTATTATTTATTCTTATTTCATGGATAACCATAAAAAATGTTCTAAATTGGGCTGCGGGAAATGCAGCCGATGTGGCTGCACTATGAAAGTAATCCAGTTGCGACCGGTCAAAACCATAACGTTGTGGCAGCAATTTAGAACCTTGGTAACCAAACCAAATTCGAAAACGTAAAAAAGAATTGAATTTGGTTAAAACTAAATTCAACTAAGCCCTTACAATGTAAGAGAGAGAATCAAGGTCAATGTTGTCCTCATCATCATAAAAGAAAGCCTCTCCTTCCTCCAACTCCATATTCATTTCAATCTCCACCACCCACCAAAAATTTCAAGCTCTAGAACAAAACCCAGAACCCAAATGGTAACCTTTCAACACTAGAACCTTCCCTGAAGTCCATCATTACATTAACAAAACCCCAAAAAAATGAAACCGAAAAAACTAAGAAAACAAAAAAAAAACACCGACCCACAAAATCAAATACGAAACTCTCCAAAACCGCAAAATGATCATGCCATAAGAACACTCTTCATTGATTGAAGAAGCATATAAACAAGAAGAAAAAACAAAAGTTGCATTGAAATTGAATTATTCTGTTGAACCAAACAATTTGATAAGGCAGTGGAGATTATTGGAAGCTATCAGTGGGAACTAGAATTAGTTTTGACGGCTACTTCAAAACTGATTCCAAATATTTGTCACTACTCTCTCCAATTTTGATGTTAGTCCCACAAATAACTAATATTGCATTTGTCATTAATCGGAAGAAGAAAAAAAATTATATATTTAAGTTGAAAGTTTAATTATTAAATATTTTATGCTCCTAATGTTTGTATATAACATGATTTTTGATTACTTTTTATTATTTAATTAACTAAAACTAATTACTTATTAGTGATCATAATAGTAATTTACAATTTATTTATATTATTTCATGATTCTTTTCCAATTTTGGTGTTTGACCCAAAATCAGGTCATAAAGATTAGGTAGAACACTTTCAGTAATATATTTTTTAAATTCAGGCGCATGAAAACATAGATAAATTTGTTTCCAATTTAGTGTTGTTTTCCTAGTTTTAAATTTATTTATCTAAATTCGAGCTCCTAATAGTACAACAAAGATTTTTTTTGTGGTAGTCAAAGATGTTTCACAAAAAAATGGTTGACAAGGCTATGGTTTTACATTTGGGTCATTGGCAACATTTAAGTGTTTTACATTAAACAAATAAAAAAAATACAAGTTTTACATTAGAATTAAGATGAGCATGGGTCGGGTTGAGCCCTTACTCGACTCTAAAATGTTGATAGGTCATTTTTTGAACTTGGATCTGACTCTAGATTTGGAGCTAACTCAACTCTAATTCTCAACATTTTACTTATTATTATGAATATGTACTTTCACATATGAAATTATATATGTATATATTATGGAAAAAATAGATAATCAATCATACTTTCGATCAAAGAGATATCATTACTTTGTAAGCAATTGAATAGAGACACATACAAACATGAGTGAGTGACCATAGGACGGGGTCGGGTCATATGATGTGAACCACTTTTGAATGTTCTTGGTTGGTGATCGTTCTTGGTTGGTGATCGTTCTTGGTTGGTGTGACATTATTGTTCATGAGTTTTTTATGGAAATAATTAGGCGGATTGAATTAATAAAGATAGAAAAATGTGGATTAAATTAGAGGTGGTGTAGGCGTCATAACACTTGAGATGTTGATAAGCCAAAGGTGAGGTTCGCCATAAGAAACATGGTTTCTTGATAAGAACTATGATCTTGGTTCAACCAAGAAAATTAGGAGAAGACAATATGCTCTCGCAAGGAAATTAATCCAATATTATGCAAATTCAAGTTGTTTTATCCATTAGCAAACACACGTACATATATATGGCAAGCCATACTTGGCTCCTGCGTGAAAACAAAGAGAGGACAAAGCATTGAAGTCCTAATCCAAGGTGATCCAACATAGGATACATTTTGATTCATAAATCTATTCCTAAACATGACTAAATTCGACCATAATGTTAAAAACACATGTTTATTACATTGAAAGCAATAAGCCTTGGATTCCATTTCCCATTGAAGAACACGACCAAAGAGTGTAATTGCATTTGAACACATGGTGAAAATTTGCATTAATTCACCTCTTAATGACTCCACGGCTAGGAATGAATGATGAGCATATGATTCTTCTTCAATGAGAAATTCCCACGACACAAAATGGTTTCATGAAGGCTAAGTAGCCTAGGATTCTATTTGCTTAATATGCTTCTTCAATGCTTTGCGTAATTGTTCCAATGGCCTTGTCCAAGGAATAAAGAGGCTCTCCATGATAAACTCTTCAATAAACACACAGCTTGTCCAACTCATAAAGCATTTGGCAAAAAATTAAGTGTGGCAGTTACAAATTGATGGTCATTTGTTTAACCATTTAAAACTTTATTCAAATTTGAACTTATATAAACATCACATATGTTGAACATACGTGAGGTGGGACAAAGGATGACTCATACATTTATTGAAAAATAATGCAAAATATCACAAAAAACTTGTGTACGAGGCTGACTCGGTTAAGTCCACGCCCAACGGTTAGATTGATGTCCTTGTCATAAGGTCACCAATCCCTTCTAGTCTATCATGGTCCAGTTTAGCTTCACTTAGAATTGCATCATCATGTTTGTCCCTTACCAGACTTTTAATATTTCATGGGTCTAAATTTTGATCCTGAATTCGACCATAGACTCAATTAGACCCAATCATATTTGGACTCGATCATAATGATGTCAAATGGGGTAAACACGTAGGATTAGGTTATGCTCACTCATAATTGGAATTCATTATAAGTGAGATGTTAAATACAACAATTGCGTTGGAAAAGTACTCAACAAGTGGGGATGTAGATTTGCTTGAAATGGGAGAATTATTAAACTTAAAATAAATGTAATTTTCTGTATGTGAGTGTGCTAGTATCCACTTAGACCACGCTCTTGATTGTTTCTTATGTGGTAACCGACTTCAACTATAATCATGATACATAAGTTTTTTTCCTAATTGAAAGACTTGATGAAAAATATGGTATGAGTGAGGAAATTTAACCACTTCTTCAATAAAGTTTAGAAGAGAGTTACCTAAGATGATGTGAGGAAAGTAAGAACAGAAAGAGGACCCCAACATGCATTTATTAGAGTATTGAATAGATCTTTGGTTAAAAAATTAAATAGAAAATATCTAATTAATTATTGTTATAATATAGAACTGTGCTTAATTTCTAGCTCTCTTCTACTTATAAATATTTAGATTGTAGTGTTGTTTTTTCATGTGCTAACGCATGTAACAATTTATTTTGGGGAAACACTTTATATTTTTTACTCTTGTTATATTGTAAAAGAAATTGGTTGGGAATTGAAATATATATCTCATTTTGGGACATTAATGTTGCCTCAATCAATTTAGGATTGGCCTTGACTCCAGTACAATATTGACACTAATTTGTTTGTTGGATTTTATTAGGAGTGCAAACAATTCCAGTTTAAGCTGCCAAATTGTGTGGTTGAATTGAATAGAACCAAAAAGTATTGATCGATTCAGTTTTACGGTTCAACTTGTATTTTTAAGGAAATGTTTAGGTTCAGTTTGGTTCGTGGTTTTAGAAATTTAAGAACCATTAACTGATACACATATTAAAGAAATATATAATAGGAAATAATGTTGTACTATTGTTTGAATTCTTCATCCAGTTCTATAGCTTAAATTATCAATTTTGTATGAATTGTACTATTATATATGTTACTAAATTGTTATATATTTTAATGTTGTGTATATATTACTCATTAAATTGTTATATATGTGGGCTACTTTCCTAGTGTCTTATGATTCTTCTAACCTTCATGATACTCCGTCTGAAACTAGCATATAATTTTTATATATGTTATTAATTCTGAATTGTATTGTTATATATGTTACTAATTGTTATACATGTTACTACATTGTTATATATTGTATTAATTGTATTATACTTTTATATATGATTTTAGCAAACAATTATGAGTTTTAACTTTTTTACTCATTTATTTATGGTTTATATTTTACGATAATAATAATTGTAGTCTTTCTCCTTTTATGGGTTGTTGCTACCCCACTTTCACAAGTGCGACGAGAATAATGCAAATAAATGCAATAAAGTCATCATCAATGTTTTTTTTAGAGGGAAAACATGAAAAACAAATTTAAAAAAATATTGATCTGCTCATTGTTAGGTGTCAAATTAATCATACTTTATACACATTTTTTATGACATTTTAACTACTTAATCAACTCAATTTATGAAATTATAATAATACATTATTAAAACTTGTTTAAATGGTCAAGTTTCACATATGAAATGTTTTGTAGGCTTAATTTAGAGAAATAATTTGCAAAAAGATAAGTTACGGACAAAAACAAGAATTCAGCCATAGCATGTCCGAGTAAAACTGTTGTTGTGCAATGACTCATATTCAATGGATCGGACATCTTCTCATCATAACAACAATACAAGTTATGGGCTTGGGCTGATGTAAATGGTTGGGGTAGAGGGCTATATATTTTGTTATGTAAACCTAATGTAATAAATGAGAACACTAGTTAAACACAAATCATTATTTCTCTAATAATATATAGTGGTAGCCTCTCAAAGCTCTCAGGGACGTAGACACAATTGGTCGAACCTCGTTACCAAATTCCTTGTGTTATTCTCTTCTTTTTTACTATTTGATTGATCACTTGTTCCCAACAATTGGTATCAGATGGCTCTTAACACATGTGCCAAATTCGAGGTGGGGAAGTTCGATGGAACTAGTAATTTCGGATTGTGGCAAAAGAGGGTTAAGGATGTGTTGGCTCAACAAGGTCTATCAAAGGCGCTGCGTGAGAATAAACCAAATGGTATGGACCAACTGGATTGGGAAGAGTTGAAGGAGAAGGCTGCAGGAACCATACGGCTCTGTCTATCAAATGAGATGATGTATCATGTTATGGATTTGACGTCACCAACAGAGGTATGAGGGACATTAGAGAAGCAGTTCATGTCCAAGTCTCTAACAAATAAGTTGTATTTAAAATAGAGACTATATGGCCTGAAGATGCAGGAGGGTACTGATTTGCAACAACATCTCAACACTTTTAATCAAGTGATCAATGACTTGCAGAAACTTGATGTGAAGGTTGATGATGAGGACAAAGCAATAATATTACTATGTTCTTTGCCAAATTCCTATGAACACTTGGTGACAACATTGACATACGGGAAAGACTCAATCAAACTTGATGAGATCACATCTTCACTTCTGTCCCACACTCAAAGAAGACAAAATGTAGGAGAATGATCTCAGGGTGATGGTCTATATGTGAAAGGGAGCCAAGCACGTGGGAGGAGACAAGGTAGGGGAGGTCCTACCAAATGGAACAGAACAAATTCCAGGGGCAGAACACCAGTAGAGTGCTTTAGATGCAAACAAACTGGTAATTACAAAAAGGATTGTCTCAATAAATGGAGTCCTAGCAAGCCGGTGGGGAAATATAGAGTATCTACATCTGCAAATGTTGCACAGAAAGATGACTCTGGTTACAATAGTGAAGCTGATCTACTATCTGTATCATCAAATAATAGCACAAATGAGTGGATACTTGACACTGGTTGTTCT